GAAAAAAAGCCCCATAGTAAGCCCTGTCTTGCATGTCTGTAGAATAAATAATCATTATGGTCACTAAAGTAGCAGTCACTGTATAACTTTATTAGTTGTTGCTGCAGCTGGGAAACAAACAGTTAAACCCCTGTGCTGTCCATGAGGTTCACTATCTGCTGAACTGGTGGTCTAGAAATCTGATAAGGATTTAGCTGCACAGTGCACACTCACGACAGTACAAAGATCTTTAATTCATGGCATTGCACCCAGGATCACTCTCTCTCTCTTCCCCCCCTCCCCCCTTACCCTCAGAACTACGGTGGCACCAAGAGAAGTGCTCTGACAGTTCAAAGACTATGTATTCACATGCCCTGCATCTCCACCTGGGACCAGGAGCAAGTGCTAAAAAACGATCGTCCTCTAAGAGCAGAGGGAGAACTTACTGTGAGGAGCTCCACACACAGCATGACAGGCTCACAGTCAGCTACGGCCACAGTGCGGGCTCAGCAACTTCAAAGTCAGCAGCAGGGGGGCGGGGCTGACAATACAGCTACATCCAGATCTCTACAGACAGCCGCTGGAGCTGCTCGTATACCAACACCAGTACTGGAGCCACTGCACTGCTGCTTAATTTAGCGGGGGGCAAAGCATAACACAGGTGGGGCAATTGCCCCCCATTGTCCCCCTGTAGTGACGCCTATGCAACAGAGACAGTTTGAAGATGACATGTGCAGAACAGGAGGGGGGTGAAAGGGTTAAAAAAAAAACAATCAGAATAATTAAAAGCCCACACCTTGATTGTGCTGATTCCCAGAAAGCCCAGAAATTTGAGCTGTGTCTCAAATGCAAACACAAGCGATGTGCTTACATTTGTGATTACTCAGATTGGTCTTTACAGCAATCTCAAGGCACAGAGACACTCTGATTGGCTCTGTGACTTTTTCCTTTGATCTGCAATGTCCAAGGACAACTCATATTGCATGTGAGCTTGGCACACGTACAAGCACTCCAGAAATAAGTATCAACCTCTCCGTCATTTTTACCTATATGGTACTATTAAGGTGTTTAAGAAAGAGCGTCAGCATATTAGGCAGGGAAATTGCATTTTCATAAGAACATGAGCTACAGCAGCACCTAAAATATACTGTGTGTTGTTTGACTTTTGCTTTGCCCTCTCACCGTGAAAAGCAGTATGTCTAATCTGAAAATATTCTTCCTTCAGAAAAATGATGGGCAGTTCACTGTGATTCAGCTAGTGGGTATGCTGAGGGGAATTGCATCTGGAATGAAGTACCTCTCAGACATGGGCTATGTACACAGAGACCTAGCAGCAAGAAACATCCTCATTAACAGCAATCTGGTGTGCAAGGTTTCAGATTTTGGCCTTTCCAGGGTCCTTGAAGATGATCCTGAAGCTGCATACACAACAAGGGTAAGCTTCATATACAGTCTATCGCTTCATTAAATATGTGGTTGATCTACTAAAGGAACAGAGACAGTTCACTTAACTTACTAAACTGTGTTTACTTTGAATAGCCAATCATGTGCAAGGGAAATTAGGAAATTAGGAAACAATTATATTTGATTACACTTGATTGATTGATTGTTTTAAGTTAACACTAATTCATCTTATTCAAAAAGCTAATTGAAGGCACACTTTTTAAAGTGAACATTAACTTTACTGAGTGAACAATCTCTGTGCCTTTTGGTAAATCATCCCTAATGTGTTTTTGCTTCTACAGTGAAATAAACCGTAGTGCCCCGACCTTTGTAAATGTGTGCATTGAAGGCTGATTTATTGAAGAATTTGTAATACTGCAAGCATTTTATTAAACAGTTGGCTGTTCTTCTCTGTAGCTCCTGTTGTTTTTGCTTGTCCTGTTTGTTTAAGATTTAAACTGATGTTTCCAGTTTCTTGTGTATATTTTTGTAAGTTTTGGGGGATTATTTCTGATCATTGCGTGAAAGCCATAGTTTTGTGAAGAAGTTAAATTGTTGTGGCATTTTCTAAGTAGCCCATTGTATTATATAATTTGTTGAATGTTCGCTACAATAAAAAATTGCCGATTTGATAGCAGCAGAATTCCTGCCAGGCAATTTTTGGCTAGAACCAGAAAGGCGCCTTTATTTATTCCAAGAAATAATTAAAACACAGAGAGTGTCCTGGATCACTTCAACATGGTTTTCCTTTTTAAAAAAAAAAACCTGATATGCATTAACTCATGGCGTTAACTCATGACTTTTATTAGTTTAATTATCCATAAAAGTTGTTCTGTGGTGTGTATGATGATGATAATGTTAAAAACTAGTAAACAATTTGAAATTAACCTGTACTTTGCCCATACTGGAAACAATAGCTCATTTATAAGTAGTCACTCTCCAGATATGAGTGCTGTTACACAGATTGGAGAGAGGGGGGAAGGATAGTCCTGTTTAAGTGTTGATTTGCAAACAACTGAAACTTGCACAAGAGTTTTTGGGCAGTCTGGAAGCGGATCAGGGTAGTAGTGGTAGTGGTGTTAGTGGGGAGGGAGGCAAGAAAAAGGTAAATGTGGTCTGCTTATAGTGGTGCCTCCCAGCATGATTGTTTTAAAGGACAGCTGGATCTTTGTTTTCAAAACCAGTATTGTAGTGGGCCCGGCATACTTATTAAAATAAGCAATTTAAATTCTCTACATTTTGTTCCACATAAACTAAGATTTTGCCATGGTCTGCCTAACTTTGCTAAAATCACCTGAAATGGTGCCCACCTACATCATCACTAACTGACCATCCAAGCTCCTGTGGAGGGACACGTATACTCGTAGTACTCTTCTGTGCTCTAAAAGTACCAGCTTTTAATTCACCTGAGAAACTCATTCCATACCCACTCTCTCTTGTTTGTTCCACCCATCTGCTAGCCAATTTGTGGACATTCTGGGGAGGATTAGCAGTATTCACAATCTGACCATTCCACCTCAGCACCACTGATGAGAAGATCAACACAACCATCTTTGGTGTTTCATACTCTGGTGCAGCTGACAATACCCACTAAGCAATCAAGGTTTTTCTAATATAAGAGTTTCAACCAATTGGCTAAAAAGTGAGCGGGAGGAACAGAGGGGGTACCGATTGGTTGAAACTTGAATATTAAGAAAATTGTGCTTGCGTACTAGATATTTTTTAGCTGTGCCAGAGACTGATGTATCATTCTTTTTTTTAGCACTTATGAGGTAAGATGGTGAGTGTGTGAATACTGCTTAAGTCTCCTTACAATGTCAGCCAATCAGCTAGTAGGTGGGTCATAAAAACAGTGGCGGAGAGGGCAGGAGGGACTTTTTTCCAGGTGCATTGAATGGTGGGACTAGCAGAGCAAAAGAGAGTGTACTGTTTCCACTACAGGAGCCTAGATGGTCATTTAGTGTTGATATAGGCAGCCACCATTTTGTTTGATTTTAGCAACAGAGTTAAAGGGGAACTAAACTCACTTCCTCTCACTCTCGTGTTGCAAACACCATTTTCATTCATAGGGTCATTCACAAAGCTGCCGAAGGCAGTTGAGTGAATAACAGAGACGTAGTGAAGTGAGCCAAACAACGTTCGGCTATTCACTACGGCTCAGTACGGCTGATTTCAACCATACATCAACTGAAATAAGCCGTGCATCGGCTGCACTTCGGTCAGCCGAACATGCTCACCTGGTGATATGCTTACATTTCATTAGAGTAGAGGCAATAGGATGGAATTGACTCAAGGCATTTCACAGATATATGTTCCACTTCATAAGGAGTACAGAAAGCATTGATCTGATAATTAAAACATTGGAGCCAGTTGTAGGAACATCTGCTAAAAAAAATTATTTATTTTTCATTAAATTATTGTAAAACAGAGAGCCTGATGCTGCTAACTTGTAATAAGATAAACAGTATAGAAATAGAAACACCTCTCCTACAAATGCACCATTATACTCCAATAAACATATTTGGTGTTTTATCCATTTACATATCTTTAGCATAATTAACATAATCTTAAATCAATTGTACAACATTAAATATGACAGAAATTATTGAGTCCAACTATACACTTAGCTTTAGAGAATCACCTGCACACCATACAGCGCTCGAACCAAACAAAATATCCGTTGGTGCGACACGGATGGCGCCGTGTAACAATCCAAGTAAAGATAGTAGTCACCAGCACTCACTTATAATGTGCAAAAAGGATAGCACTTTTATTGATATGTCACATGCGGCAAGAAGCCAACGTTTCAGGGCCGGGCAGGGTCCCTTCATCAGTGTGACATCATGACCACAATGTTGCCCTGATGAAGGGACCCTGCGCTGCCCCGAAACATTGGCTTCTTGACGCATGTAACATATCAATAAAAGTGCTATCCTTTTTGCACATTTCAAGTGAATGCTGGTGACTACTATCTTAACTATAAACTTACACATAATCACCAAGTTACACCAGAAGTTAAAAAACATGTAGGCCATCCATGTGTTCATGAGCCCAAGTGCACAAAGGCAAAGGGAAGAACCCCAGAGGACAAACAAAAAGCAGCACCCAGCACCGTTTTTATGTGTAAATTATCCTACATCAGGTATGCATAACAGAATTATAACAAATTATCTTGTTTATAAGTATTTCTGAAATATCTATTGTTTTTAATCACTAACCATGAGAGGGATTATCCAAGAAATTTGATTGGACCTCTACAGACACTCATCATTAGTGTTTAAAAACCATAGGTTGGTGGGATAGATATTTCATACTAAGGCTGGGTTCACACCTGGGCATTTTTCAGCGCTGATCGAAGCGCTGAAAAATGCTCAGCAAGTGAAATCCCATTATGTCGAAACGTGCTGAAAAACGCCCTACGCCCAAATAAGTACAGGAGCTTCTTTGGGGCGTATTTCCGCGCATATCCATTAGGATACAGCCGGATAGCTCTCCTAAAAAACGTGCGTTTCGTGGACCGCAAATCGTGGTAAAAATACGCGCATATTTCGAACGCCCAGGTGGGAACCCAGCCTTGTAGAAGGACAGATTGTCTTGTCTTTTTCCCAGATTGTATTGTTATCATGCATATCTGATATAGGATAATTACAGGCGATAACAATGGCTCTGAAATTCAGGGCTGTTCTTTGAACTATAATATTTATGTTTTATTAAATTAAACCACCTCTGTGTAACATTATATTCTGTAGTGTAATCTGTAGTTGCTTTGAGATGTTGGCCATTCCCAAAAGTATAACATTGCTCATAACCTCACTTTAATAAAGCCTGCCATATGAAAGTTATTTCCTTCCATATGACAAATAAGATACAGATAAGTCCTGTACATCTGTACTGCATGTCATATGTGTTTTATTATGTCTATTTAAACCGAGCCAGCACTTTTAGCACACTGCACATTTGTAATCAGCAACTAAGTTTCCTAGTTTAGATTTCATCTGTATATCTAGGCAGTGTATCACACTTGACATTCAGGACCATACCTTCCTTCTTCTCCTACTATTGTACAGTTTATTACTTTCATGTAGCACTGTAATAACCGTTCAGGAAGGAAGATTACAGCCCTGATCTTGAACTGCCTGTAAATGGAGCTCAATTCATTGTTTTGAAATACATCTTGTGAATCATGAATTTTATTTTACACCAGAGACCAAATTATTACTAGTTGTTGAATGTGAACGTTTTTATTCCCCGTGTTACTTTGCCTGAGCATCAAGTGATATTTGTGTTTATGGCTTTGAGCTTTGTTTCGTCCTATATGCTCAGTTTCATTTATCACTTTCAGAATAGAAAGGGGATTCACATTATCACCTGACCACATGTTCTGATGTTTACAGGGAGGAAAAATACCCATACGATGGACAGCCCCTGAAGCAATTGCTTTTCGTAAGTTCACCTCTGCCAGTGATGTCTGGAGCTATGGAATAGTGATGTGGGAAGTCATGTCATATGGTGAAAGACCCTACTGGGAGATGACAAACCAAGACGTAAGTAGAACAATAAAGCAAGTCATATGCTTTGAATTTTGAAATGCTCGCTCAGGCAGAGGTCCCACAAACTAGCTCAAGTGAGAAATGACCACACTCAGAAAATGAAGAAACTCTACTACACACAGGCCATAAAATTCTTCAGGAAAAGTTGGAGTGGTCACCTTTTTCCACAAAGAATTTTCTAACTGAAGTTTGATTTTAACTTAAAGTCTAAATGTTCTGTTTGTGGCAGATGTTCTTTCCACCCATTTCACTGCTAATAATTCACTCTCACTACATTAACAGACACACATTTGAGTTAAGCACTATTAATGAATGAATCTGCCAGAATGAATCTGGCAAAAAATCTGGTTGATTGGTTGCCAAAACCAATGAAGTGTATGAATTAATATATTACCCAATTTGTTTTTTGGGCAAAATATAAAAGATGAAGTTGCACTGATTAAATAGATATCAAACATGTCAAGCCTTAAAACTGCGTGGGCCCATGCGTGGACCCATGAAATGGTGAAAAACGACGTTACCCAAAATTGTCTATATACAACGTTTCAAAATCTTTAACAGGTCATCCATTTAGAGGTAACCATGAATAATTACTCTAGATTTATTGCTCTCACTCGGGCATGCATGGTGATACATAACATGTGTGGTGCAAATGGTGTTTTCATACGAACTCAATGCGTATTTGTGTTATTATGTGTGGGGGCAAGAGACTTGTCCCCACACTTAAAAGGTTTTGGGATGTTTTTAAATTTTTTGGGGGTCTTTCTGGGATGGTGGCAGGAGATTAGCCATTTTACCTATTTATCTGGGATCTAATAGGATGGCCACCAAATAGTGGTCCCTATCTTTGATGATCTGAATCCTGGGATTTCTTGCACAGGCACCTGAGCATAAAAGACTCCATTCTGCACAAATTGCCTGAAGCAGAAAATCCTGAATCCTCAGTGTCGCTAAGGACAACACTAAACCTCAACTTATCTTTTTTTAAACTAGCAGAAAATGGTAACAAATAGATAAAAAGATAAAAAAAACATAATGAAACATCTAAACAGCAACTACAGTTGTTGCTGAAACACACAAAACAATGCTGCATCTTTGAACTGTAAACACAAGAGGGTACACAAAAATATAGCCCACCACACTACAATACACAGTCATTTAGCACAATGTAGCACAGAGTTGTGCCATATAGTACCGTAATTAACACTCCTTACATAGACTGTGAGCTCTTCCTAAACTACTCCAACACACACCGACAAATTGCTCCTGAGAACCCACCCTTTTAAAAGGAGTGGGCTGGCACATTATTGGTCCTTTTACCCCTGTTGGCCACAGTCAAAAGGGTACACAGGGCAATATACAGTATGACCCTCCACATCCTAACGTCCAATTCAAGTCTTTGGGCCTTTATAACATGTGATGACCTCAGTGACCCTTAGAACCCTGGAACTGAGGGAAGAAGAGGCTGCAGAGACTGGACTAGCAGCTCAGCAGGACCGAGGATCAGGTTGTATATTTTATTTATTTGAGCCCCCTAGACTAGTGCGGAAGCTGGACATTCTGTCACCTGGGGCAAAGGCTCAAAGTCACTCCCCCCCAAGGGAGAAGTCCTTCATCCACACACCCAGTGGCACCCTAGACAAAATGAACCCTTAACCCTTGCAGTGCTAGGGTAGCCCAATGCAAAGGTAATTTTTTTATATTCCCAGGGATCTTCTTTAAATAAATTGCAGCCAGATATGCATAGTGATAGGCAATATTAGCCCACTGTTGCCCTGAGAAAGCTTAAAGTTTCCCCTTACCATACCATTTCCCTCCTTTCCTGGGCTCTGCCATATTGCCCAGTGTGCTATACAGGAGTTTAGATAAACATTTCAAATTTCAAAACCCCAATCCTCTTTTCTCACTTAATATACTGCACCCACAACCTGTCAAGGTAGCTCAGGTCTATTCTTCAGGTCTGGCATAGTCTGCCATGCCTGAAGATGAAATTTCTGCTATCTCTAAATCTTGCAATATGCCAAGAAAATTCTACATTATGACATCCAGTTGTAAGAATAAGGAAATCAAACTGCCATTAGAAATGCTGAAACATTTCTAAATATAATTAGCTTCTGAAGCAAATAAATGTACTATTTCACATCATGTACATTAAACTCATCACCTAATCAGATACTGAAACTGATTGCATGTTCATTTCTGAACTGAGAAAACTGTTTATGCACAGCAGAATTCCCAGAAACCACAGTGATAATGCTTTATTTTTCCTTTCTTTCTCCATTGAGTGGAGTAAAATAGATGTCCACGATGTTTGGCAACTGTACAACATAAGATGTAGCAGATGTATTGATAGTTACAAGCATAACTGTGTTCAGTGTGCTGAAGCAAACATATCTCTTTTACTCTTCTTGATCACCTGTATGATCTGTGGTTGAAAAAATACAAAAGGGTCAATTCACAAAGAGACAGGACATATTTTAACAACATTCTTTATTTTTCCGAAATCACACACACAACTATAACATAGTTATGTGCAATCTGTGCTTTTAGCCTAAAATGGATGCTTGACTATTAAACGCCTGTCATGAATTGGTAATCCTGTCATCATGACAACAATAATGAAAGGTAATCTCCACCTAGAATTGTTTTCTTTTCTTCTGTCCTCAACATAGAACCTCACAAGTCTCACCATTCAGAAGCTAGTATTATTACTGGAGTAAAAATCTGAGATTTCCTTTGTGAATTTACTTTTGTGAGGTACAAAGTGTACCTAAACCCCAAAACAAAAATGTAATATAGTGCATCTATATATATTGCAGCTTACCAATACCAGATGTGAAAGCTGCATTAGTTTTTTTTTCAGGCTAAGAATATTTTCAGTAAGTACTGAAAATACTTGTTGATCTTGCCAGAAATGCAGTGTCCTTGGTATTTACTGTGAGTTAAAAAAAATAGTATAAGCAATGTTACCTCTCATTTGGAAAATACTAGTCCCGTCATTATTCAACCATGTAATCAACCATGTAATAGAAATGAACAACGACAAAGCTGTTTGAGGTTCATCCTCTGTGACACCATGGCTCTTTCCATAGATACCAGAGAAGTGAGTGTGCCAGGAAGAGTGTTATTCACAGCATTACCAGGTAAAAAACAAAGGGAATAAGCTTGACAAACTAATGCAGCCACCTCATCTAAGCATTGGTAAACTGCAATATATGACATTTTTGGTTTTGGTTTTAGATAGATATGCTTTAATTCTATGTTTAAAAAATCATATAAATATGATGCAGCACATACCATACACAGGCTATGTCATGGAAATTATTATACACTGCCTGTGCATATTAATCTGCTGCGTTTAAAAGCACAGTTGTATTAAGCTCTTTTGTGCAAGGAAAGGCAACACTCATGCAGAGTCAAGAAAAGGTGATGCTTTTATGGTGGAGTTCTGTTCCCAGTGTGTCTCCTCTCACCACAGCAGCTCTTTTATTTATATCTCAACAAAAGGATCAAACTGGAAGTGACCAAGTCACTACATCTTCATTTTGAAGACCAGGATTAAGGGTTACAGGTCTTCTCCTCCTTGGCCTTGACAGGTCCTCGAAAACTTTACCCATATAGAGTATTCAGAAAATCTGTATATATCTCAGTGATACAATGTACACCAATAAGCACTCCCTGATGTACTACATGTATACTTCATCTCCTCTGCTGTATGTCAGACAAAGAAGGAGTAGCAAACCATCTCCTTTGTAAAGATCATACAGGTTAAATGCTAAGTCAAACAAAACCAATAGCTCACACCAGTCTCGTGTGTTACTTTTAAAGCCCATTTCCACCTTTGTTGAGGTATTAAAAAAAACATGCCAGCAAAGTACACCAAGTTGGCATGAAGCAGGCATATGCAGTTGCTGTATATGAACACAAACATAAATTTTTGGTTAGATTTCCTCTTCATCTCTTCACGGAAATGGCCGCAATTGTGCTTTGCAAGTAATGTGTATATAGTACAAGAGACCTCTCCACCCCCTCCCCCAGACAGTGTATTGTGTGCAATGGCAGAGCTGCTGGGGCTGGGTCCCATATTGTTCAACTTATTTATTAATGACATCGGGGAGGGTGTTAACAGCGATATTTCCGTGTTTGCGGATGACACCAAAATAGGGAGGGTAATAGACACGGACTTAGACACCATAACATTACAGGAGGACCTGGATAAAATAGGGGAGTGGGCATTAATGTGGCAGATGAGGTTTAATGTCGATAAATGCAAAGTGATGCACTTTGGAATTAAAAATAAACAAATGGGTTATACAATTATGGGTATGCCGCTGGGGAAGTCAGAAATGGAGAAGGATTTGGGGGTCATTGTAGACCACAAACTGAAAGGTAGTTTGCAGTGCCAGGCTGCTGTAAACAAAGCTAGCAGGGTCTTGTCCTGTATTAAAAAGGGGATGTATTGCAGGGACAAGTCTATAATTTTGCCACTTTATAGATCATTGGTTCGACCTCATCTGGAGTACG